ATTAGTGCTTCGGTTAAAATTAATAATTAAAACCGTAATTAACTAATTATCATTAGGTTATCATCGTAAAAAAAGAATCAACAAGGACGTCCATGTAAGTCTATCATAATTTTCCTTTTTATATAACGAACATAAAGTAAATCGAGCGCGGTCGCGCCGGCTGCCGAGGCTGACGCTCTACAGTAGACCGTCAGCGGTGGCCGGTAGACCGTCGGCGATGGCCAGGAGACCGTCGCGCAGACGGGTAGACTGCCGGTGGTCGCCGGTAGACCGTCGCGGCCGACAGCCGGCGCGACGCCAAGCGCGCCACGCACTCATTAGGGCTAAGTATAATAGTTTACACATTATAAGATTACAACAAATCTAGATAATAGTCTTACAATCGTTATATACTTAGTCTGTGGCTCGGTCGCGGTCGCCGCTTCCAATTAATTACATTTTAGCAAATTAATATAAATCTGTTATAAATATAACACCCCCTTAACGGGCGCAAAGTAAAACTTATATACTGCCGTAAATAACCATTATTTTTAAATATTGTACATCAGTCGATAGTTCACCTAATAAATTTTGTAATCTAATCGATCGAGAATTATGTACTTTAATCCACTATAATGAAAAAAATATAGTTTAAAAATAATCAACATCAAAATTTTTAATTAAAACAGAAATAAATAACAACTTGCCCTAGTTTTAATGTATTTATAATTAATCGTAAAGCCCGTGCAATTTTATTTTACGATAAGAGTGTGTTCAATAATTACATTTATATTATTATATTCTAGTATAAACTAGTATAAATATGAGGATTTATATTAATAATACCTGCATTGTTTAAAAATAATTTTAGATTCGACTACAGTTAATAATCGACTGCTGGCTGCCGATGCATTTAAATGCAACTTTCTTTTAGACGAGTAGAAGTGAACTTAAAAAAAAGTCCTGCTAACCTAACGTTAACACTAGGGGTCTTGTATAATATAATTAGTCAATTACGATCATAAGTATATTTAATGTATAATACGCACGGCGGAGTACGAACGCCTCCGCGCGTGTGCCATATCAAATACCAAAAATACACTTTTACACAAACATGTCTACTGAATAAACATACACATATAAAAACCGCGTACACTATATTATAATGTAATACAAACAAGAGTCGAAATGTTAACTACACAACAGTACTACTGTTAAGCCATGATTAAAATATTATTCCATAAACATAATATTAAGATACAGTGTATATCTTATGTCGATATTACTCGGCGTAATATTAAAATGCAGAGGATGCAAGTGTCACTCACGGTTTGTACAATTTAGTTGTATTGAGCGTTGGGTGCGACCAGTCGCCGTTGTTTCCGCAGCCGCTTCACATTTGACAGACGAGCCTCTAACGAGTCTTACCGTATTTGTATTTTGCTAACTATTTTAATTAATAAATTCATCCAATATTTTAATGCTCTTCTCCTATATAATAATAATAATTAAAAACCCATATAAATAGTCTCAATTGATTTTTCACAATAATTTGCACTAAGTTTAATGTTGAGTAAATCTAAAATTTCTAATACATATTATACTTTATTTTAAATAAATTATACTCTTTATGTTTACTTAGAAGATTGCCACGATGGTTCATTACAAACTAAGTTCTTAAATTGTTCCGAAGGTTTATGAGTGCGGGGCCCAAGCCCGTATCTTAAAAAACACCTTAGTGCTAATTCAATATCACTGAAAATAACATAATATAAATCATCTATATATTCACTTAACTTTTTGTAAGGCATCGTTTCCTAATATTAAACGGGCATGAACAATGTCATCCGTTATCGGTGGTTGTACATTAAAACTACGGTGAGTAAATAATTATAACCGAAGACATGGAAACGATATCGTGCGAATAGAATGTTCGTACGTACGTTCGCGTGCGCGGACGCACGAACGGGCGCGTGCGCGAACGCGCGCACCAACGGAGGCGCGGGGAACCAACGGGTAGCGGGTTAGTGACAGACTACCGAATACGCGCACCGAACACCGCCACAGGAATGAATCGAGACGAATTAAACCTAACTAACATAGGAACGAACAGATTAAGAGTTATAATAAAACATAGCTGAACAAAGCGGGCACGACTACATACGTAACCTAGAGGGCAGTTAGGCACCGACGTCGATTATTAATTAATATTATTTCAATATATTGTTTTAAGGTACAAGTTTCAATTTCTTACATAATGTCCATTGTTTCAGTCGTTAATGTAATATACAGAGCTATAAGAAATGTACCAATATTCGCGTTATCTATGAACATCACAATGTAAAGGCGTTTTCATTTCCTTACTATGTTTTAGCTTTAAATTTGGGACGCCGCACCCATCACGTCGGACCGTCGCGCTTACAAATTTGCTTATAACCTCACGTAGATAAATTATATTTTACTTATGGTGCGATCTTAAATAACCCTATACTATACGATACCAAATTATGCATTTGCGATGTAATATTCAACAATTCATCTATTTAAAAAACGTTTATAACAAATCTTATCGAGTGCCTACTGGGGCGTACCTAGCCGTTTCGACCGACGTAAACTCTTAAGTTAATTACAACAAAGAATGTCGGGGCGCCGCTAAGCCGCGCACAGACTCTCCCCTGCCGCTATTAATTACTTAGCTTATCACTAAAATTTTAATCAGTCGATCGGTCAAATGATTGAGCGATATAGTAGAGTAAAGGACTAACATTAAATTTAATCTAACAATGTTATTTTAAATTATAACTCACTTTGCTACGGGAGGAGAGGGCGCGCGGCGACGACGTCCCGTATTTTAAGATAAAGATACTCCTAAACCGACGCCCGTATCGGCCATCGGAAGCTCTATACAGTTTTAAAAATATTTGGCAATCCGCATAAATTAAAAAATTTAAAACTATGTGACGAGAGAATCGATTAAAATTATGTTTTTACACACAAGTAAGTATATGTACAGTCGTCCGCGCGAGGGGTGCGGCCGGAACCGAGTCCGACAACTATATCCTAAATGATTGAGCTTCATTACTTAACACTTAATCGTTTGCTCGCTTTAACAATTTGGCAGGTAAATTTAATTCATATTATAATTATTAAAAAATCAATTATCAACTTAAAAACTGCAATAAAAAACTAAAAATCCATATCCATTAAAATTACGAATATTTATACAGAATTGCTCCCCTTTAAAGAAATTAAAAAACACGGGAAAATTATAATATATTATTAAATCACGTTCAGTCATTCTAGATTTTGTTTAAATATTAACACATAATTATTTCATTACATTCCTATCATTTTTCCTAAGTCTAGTGGGTGGTAAATAACCAAAATTCTAATATTAAACATACATACCGATATATATACCAAATATTTATACAAGTCATTAGCTTAAGTTAAGTTGTTTTAGGTCATTTTCCCTAAATTGGCCTTGTTAACAGTTCTGTCAAATGTGCGCGGAAGTGTCGGGCGGCTTCACGTAATGTACCAAGTCCCCAACGCTCAATATACGATGTTGTTAAAAGAAATCATCAAACTTCCAAAGAACAAAGAAATTCATGATTATAAGTAAAATTAAAAACATTTAAAAGAGCCCACATCCAAACTAAAAGAATTAAAAAAGACAAAAATAATGTACATTAGATGTACGAAAATTGACCTTCCGGGTCAAAGGCAGGTGGGGCCGCGAAACCTTTGGGGGAAATAATATCAGAGAACACAAATATTACTTAGCGCAAGAGAGAAACACTATGTGAACACATTCATTTGTATGCCCGTTTAATAGTTTCATAAAACGTGAAGAGGCCTAATCCTTTAAGGTTTAGTTGACGCGAGCTAAAACATCTAGAAAACTTGATTTTTTTTATCTTTAAATTACGTTTTAAATTTTATTTAAAAAACAACACCTTACTTACGCGTGTGGGTTTGTGTTAATGCAGTCGTAAAGGATGCTTTTAATTTTCAATTTTTTTTTTCAAAATCGCATGCAATATTCACTTTAAAAATCAATATTTATATTGCATTGTATAAATACCTCCCCTTTTTAATAACATACTTAATTAAAACGTGTTGTATAATGTTGTGTTATGTATTGTTTCCATTGAGGTTGTCAAGTGATGGTGATGATGAGGTGTGGGGGATTGATCGAACTCATGGGGGCTCGGACTGTCGGAATTCAAGTATCGAGTTGATCATCTAGTGGATTGGGGAACACCGACCGCAGAAACGCGCTCTCGTCGAATAAAAGGAGATCACCGACGAAACGAATAGTTCATCTGTGAGTTAAAATATGGACTGAGCTCGGCTAGTCTCAAAGGATCGTCGCTAATTTGAAAACTGTTAAATGATGTGACAAGTGAACATTTAGGAAACAAGTTTGTTTTGAGATTAGATTTTCTGTGGAATGATTAGAGGGAGCTCAAATAGTTGCAATTACAGTTCATCGTTTGCTATTTTTGACAAAATGACTTAGTATCGTATCGTATTTTATTATACGTATTGAATTGCGAGTAGCAAACTGTCATTTTTTACTGAATGTAATAAAAAATTAGTTATAAACATTGAAGTAATATATACTACGTACAAGAACGGACACCGCGAACAAAATCTGTGCGGCGGTGCCGGTCGCGTAGCAGGAGAGCACACGCAACAGTGGTTTCTATGGCATAGACTAAATCTAACGCGTGTTACAAACAAAATTCACAGCATCTCTTCTAGTACGTAATACGTGTTACTTCAATGGATGAGCGCGGGCGCACGACACGCGTTCTCAGGACTGCGTGTTGGGGAATAACTCGGGAGTAGTGCGTGGAGTCGCATGTCCCTTCAGTCTGCGTGTCGGTGCGGGGGAGGTGCGGGGTTGCGGGGGGAGGTGCGGGCGCGCGGCGCGCTCTAGGCGGCGGGCCACTCCTTGCTAAAGTCGGCGGCGGCGAAGTGTTTGGGCGCGTGGGGCGGGTGCGCGTGCACACCTGGCGGCTGCGCGGCCGCGGCGCCGGGGTACTCGCCGCTGTAGGCGCGCGACCCGCCGTACGACGAGCCCTACCACGCGCACACGTTAGCGCTCGCACGCCGCAACGTACACGCCGCGCCGCGCCCAGGGCTGCCACCCTCTACTTTACACTTTACCAAAACCTATCACCCCTACGATGGAAAACGAAAACGGCCCACAGAAACAAAGCATTACCGAATTTTTGCAAACAAATTATTTACCTTGACAAAAACGCAAGGAAATAGTTAAGATTTTTAATAATAGCAAATGTTTATTACTCTTTAAAATATATAAAATAAATTAGTAAAAATTAATACAAGTTTATATTCCTAAACTGTGTTCTAAAATAGAAGGTGGCAACCCTAATCTCCGGTCGCGTGGATTGATATCGCGAAACGCAACGTTGCGACTCTACGCGCGCGACGACCGGCCGGCCGAAGCCTCGTAGAGGCCGCGCAATTGGCGGAGGCTGTGTTATTAAGCGAACCGGATTCTTTGAAATATTGGAATTACCTTTTAATTAATTTGTACGCCATTACGACAATACAAGAATGTGTTTGATATACCATCCGGTCAATTTCATAATGCGGCTGGCGCTCTATAAACGTTTTAAAAACATTAATCTTAAGCGAAGTTTCTGAAATAATTATATTTGAACCGGTTCGCTGTTATTACCTCAGCCCACCGCAACATTTCTACTAAGAACTACGAGCATGAATTGCCGTTACTTATTACAAAAATAAAACCGCGCAACTGGCCGAGGCTTCGGCTCCGGCGGGTCGGGTCACGTCATGAGGGATCGAAATGAGGCCACATCATTTTAATGTCAAGCGATTTAATGTCATACAAGTTGTTGTTAGAGGCCGCATTCGACGATGCCCCATGATGTTTAACACAGTTTTGATCCTACATATTATAATATGATCTTTCGTTACATTCAACAGAATTATGGATTTCGTCTCTGAACACTTAAAGTACAGCTCTCTTAACATTATTTTTATCGTTAAAATTAACTATTAATGAACCTGTAACAATACGAGAAAAATCCAAGTTTTACTAATTTGTACTTTAAATGCCAATTTACATGTGTTGAGATGACACAAAGCAATTGAATCATCTCGCACGACTACAATAATGCAATACGAACATTCTGATTGAAACTATAAGTATAAGCTTAACATCTAGAGCGGTGCGATGCCTTTTAGGTGAGCCCGCGTGATCGTCGCAATAACCGAACCGTCCATAGTGAGAAATCCCCAGAGTTTCGCGACATACCCTCATCCGAACCCACCCTTATCTCTAATTGTCTTTCTGGAGGAGCCACTCTTGTGGACCCTGATCGACCAACTGGAAAAGAAGAATTACAAGACATCAAAGTCCCACTCGCCAAAATGCACGACCTGACTTAGGCAGTTTTATGTAAGTAGCGTAACGCGTGAAAATGGACGCGGAGAAAGCATGTACATTAACCCCCGGGGCAGGATGATGACCAGGGAGGGGATGGCGGGGGAGTGGGGGGCGGCGGTGAGAGACCTTCAGCGAAAGTTGACAACTTTGTTAATCTTCTTGATTTTTCACTATGGATAGCGGTGCGGTGAGCTTTTTGCCTCGAGAGAGCCGGCTCGCGGTCGACGGAGTCGTTAGCAATACCGTTCGCAATACGGACCGCAACATAGCTCGTAAAATCAAAAAGACATCGCACGTTTTAATCTCGCCACTGAAAACATGCAGAGAAGGTCGATGTCTTCGATATCGAAAGCGTTTTATTATATCTCAAAACAGCACACAACAGCACAGAGGGAGGAGGCAAACTAATATGGACTCTATGGTATATAATTCATGCTACATTTCGACCGCAATATTGTTTGTTTGCATTCAAGTAGTAAACTTCGCTGAATTTCACTCGCTCACCGATGTTACATCGCACTATCATTCATGAATCGCAAACAAACTCAGTAAGTACAACCAAATTGAATGCTGCTACGGACTTCATTCATACATCCCACAAGCATCTTCACATAAACGGTGAGAAAGTAAAAAGGGGTCAAGAAAATTCATCAACCATGCGTTCCCACATACTGCAAAACCACACCAAACAAATGTATGGGGAAAATGCAGGATAAAATAAGATAAAGCATGGGTATGGGGGATATGGGAAGAAAGGAAGCAAGCCCCTGGGTTTCGAGCAAAAATACAATACAATCTAAATCAACTTGGCTGTACTTTAGTAATGATTAATAGAATCTCTCAAAGCGATTACAAGCGCTATGAGCATAAATTATACAGTGCAACTGTATCCTGGACAAGTATTTCAATTTTGTATTGTTTCAATAAAGAAATTTATCCAAGATACAGTGATAGGATTAGCATACTTCTGTTTTCAACACAGGTTGGACAACACTTCATAGATTGTATATTTTATAAAGAAATATTTTTATCCAAAATGTGTTATATTAAACAGAATAAAAAATAGAATGGGCAATAATGCTTATTCACAAATTTATTTGCTTTGTTTGAAAATTTACCTGCCCATTCTAAAATTTAAATAAGATTGTCAGATTTCACACAATCTCCCTGACCGTTTCAATAACCGGGAGTCATAAATTTACAATATGCAACTTTAACTTGATTACAACTCCTTAGAGTTCAATGTGAAATCTACAAATTCAAAACGAACCAATTATTGAAACCCTTAACATTTTCGATATCAAAGAATGTGATATAATCAATGTTCAATTGTAATTGCAATAATAACAAGAATGCTACAGAAATATATAAAGAAAAAAATTAAAATGGGCTTCATAACGAATACATGAGGCAATGATAATTGAACAAATCATTATATGTGATTACCTTTTCTGAAGCATGAGGTACGAGGTAAGGCTCCAACATACCTTTTTCTGGTATCATTTATTGCTTAAAATGTATGTTAGTGCCTTAAATTATTCTCAATTATCACAACCTTCCTTTCTATAGGTTATTAAATTGAACTTATCTTTCAACCAACACCAGGTAAAATATGCGGTAAATATTATCCATGCAAGATCAAACAAAACTTTAACTAAAATTTCAAAACACAGTCATCAAAAGTTTTGTAATAAATTAACAACTATATTAATATGATGTCTTAATTCGGAAAATGAATGCGGTTTTCTAACTTTGATGACTATGAATTGAAAAAAATAACATCGTGCATAAAATATTTTTTATAAAATACTAGAAGAAACAAACAAATACTTTCAAATATTAATTAAAGTATACATTTGTTTACTTAAAAAATTGAAATATTAATTTGAATTTAATTGTTAATGAGGTACCAATGAATGATTTGTGGCTTCTAGATTGTAATGTTAAATAAACTTACAAATGATGCAATGCATTGAACTTGTATCATTTCCAATTCAAATTGCAATTGATTACACTAATATTATTAAAAATTTAAATGAAAAGAAACAATCGCTCTGGACGTAAAAACAAACAAAAAAATTAGTTACGCAAAATAAGAAATGATACAAATAAATATTGTATGTTTTCATATAATCATTGCAAGTTTGAATTGTTCTTACAGCAACAACATATAAAATTTTTATATAAAATAAATCTCACGTATTTGAAATGCTTAGTTGATTTGATATGTGAACATATGTTATTTCATATATAAAATCCTGCAATGACTATTAAAACCGGGTAAATAGTTTTACATTTCGTTCGCGATTATTTGTCGTTGACCATTTTAAGTTTTGTTTAAGTGACAATACACTGAAAAACACAAGTATCGATTATCAACAAAAACAATGAAAACACTGAAAATTGATTTTTTAAATATAAATATTTAAGAGATTTATTTATAACAACAATTTTCAATTACAATAATTGTGATGATTATTAATTATGTATTTTGATGTAATAACATAATTTGTAACCAAATTAATTTGATGTATTTATACCTTAATATTTGAGTATAGCTAACTGAGTTAGTTACCTTGAGGACTAGTTGAGGTAGTTACCTTCTAATTTAATTATCTAATTTTAGAAGGAATTCTATTATCAAACTGTACATATAGTCTACTAAGATTTAAATGTATTAAATTCACAGAGGACCAAAATAGCTTGTTGTGGGTGCTAAGAGAATGAGAGAGTCCTTCATAGTCTCTTTTACATTGTTATTTTGTATTAGTTTTACTTTTTATACACTTTGTTTTTTGGTCAATGCATAAACATTTACTTATTATTATATAAACTTCAACTAGATTCAAAAATAACTGAAGTATTGTGTTTATAGTTTTATCCAAATAAATTTAGTTTAATATAAAAAAATTAAATCTATCAAATATCGACTGTACCATTATCGGCATAAGGTCTTAAAACGGTCAACGAGTGTGTGTGTGTGTGTGTGTGTGTGTGTGTGTGTGTGTGGAGGTATGTAGGTGTGTGTGCGTACGCGTACCTGGTCCTGCTGGTAGGCGGGCGGGTACTGCTGGTAGGTGGAGTAGTCGGAGGAGGACTTGTTGAGCGCGGCGGAGGACAGCGCGCCCGTGAGCGCCGGCGCCGCGCCGCCGCCCGCGCCGCCGGCCGCGCCGCGCCCGTACATTTCGCCGCTCTCCGACAGCGGCACGTACGAGCCTGCGCACACGCAACGTATCAACCCACATCATCGTGGTACATCAACACACTACCTCATTCACAGGACCTTTCCTGCCTGGGAATCCGAAACATTCCAGCAACCGGAATCTAGAGTACTGGGGACTCTGGAACTTACTGGAAATGAGGCATTTCATCTTGATCCTCAAGTGTGACAACACATCTGCATTTGGATTCCTAATTGACCTCTATAAGCCACAGCATCCACTTACCATCAGGTGAACTATGTGCCAGCCACCTTACCTATTTAATAAATAATAAACCAACTTATTTTATTTACATAACAAAAACAGATCTTGAGGGTTTTCTGTCAAAAAATCCGTCTGTGTAGTACAACCGTGAGCACCGACAAACTGTTTATTACTAATCAAACCACTCCTAAGTAATAGAACGCTTTTTCTGCCTAAGAGTCTGCATTAACAAACTGCTCATTAATATATAACTAATGACCCATAGCTCAGTATACCAGAGACCATTGTTACCATAAATGAAGATTTCCATCTTAGTCCTCATGTGTGACAACACATCTGTAATTTGATTCCTAATTGAAGATAGATGTAAAGTGCCTTATTCTAAAAAAACATAAGTGATAGGACTCTGTTCTCTCTAGAAATCCATATGAGTAGCAGAACCCTGCACACCGAAAAAACACTTATTCCTAATCAACCCAGTCCTAGATAGTAAGACACCCTTTCTAACTAAAAATCCGTCTGGGAGTTTCCAAATAGTAGTGATTTAACTAAGAAACTTAAAATTCTACAATAGTTATTTCTGCCACCAAATAGCAATTGCTTGCACCGATGTGTTCCGATCTCAATAGTGTAGAGCCAGTAAAATTTCAGGCTCTTATCTTTTCCATCTTCGCACTCAAAGGTGACATTACCACTCTGTACAGTAGAGCCACACTGCTGTTAAATTATGGTTGTAGCACGAATGGGTCGGTTTGACTGGGGGGTAGGACCACACTCTCACCAGCATGAAATCAGCTTAATGCTGCTGTGTTTCATATGGTGAGTGTAGAAAACTGGAGATCCCTTTTATTGTAAAAGAGGAATTTCTTTTTAGTCCTTATGGGTGACAACGCATCTGCATTTTGATTCTTAATTGAGGATAAATGTAAGCATTTTGATAAGAAGCTTTTTACAATTGTCAACAAAAATCTATCCAAATATGCAGACAAACCAAATTTCCACACACTGGGTTTTGACATTTGACACCGTTTTATTAATTTTTGTGTACAGCTATGAGTATACAACATCTCTTCCAAAAAATGCATCCTATTTGGTTGAAAAAGTCAAATGATAAAGCACTGTTCATCTAATAAAAAACCAAGATGTATGTGTTGTTCCCACATTAAAAACAACTTAAGTGGAATGTGTTGGTAACCAGTTATTTGCTAAATAATCAATCAACACTCATATCCTCTCAAGCGTCCGAAAGACACCATGTGTCCATAAGCGAAAAGTGCTGGTAGCGCCCGAAGGACACAATGTGTCCGTAAGGAATCGATCTTCTTTTGTCTTTGATATTCAATCTACGTGGTGATTGGTTGTTCAAATTTTTCCTCATTCTCAAAGTTCAACTAATCATTCATTCATTCATGTGTGATACACCAATCAAAATTAAGAAATAAAGATAAAAAACAAAATTTGAAAGTCAGTCGTGACGTTCATTCTTTTAGCCGCCATTTTCAATTTCTGTGCAAAAACAAAGTGTTTCGTGTGGAAGAAAAATGTCCAAAGCTTTCAAACGGTAAGTGTTTATTTTATAAATTATATATCAAATTACTAGGAATTGAATACAAACTCGTTTTATCATATTTACTCAAGACAAATTTCATTTCGATAGTAAAAAAAACAGTGAAACTTTCGGAACGCATCTTATTCAGTTGTAAGCGCCGGGAGATCATTTTATGCCGGTTTCGAAATAAATTATTTATTATGAAGTAACTAACTACTTGTTATTATAGAATAAAATTATGCAAATCCTATAAACACTCAATAAAACTTTACGCTATTGTTTGTGTTTTGTGAAATGTGGCTTTGGATTTAGCACAATTTGTGAAGAAAGTGTTAGTGTCTGAACAAAAAACAGAAGAAAAACGCAATGTTTTGAAAACAGAAAGTAATAATTCACTTACTATGTAAGTAATTACATTATTATTTATAAAAACAGATAGGAAATTTAATCCCCTTTCGAATGATACATAACCTATAAAACGTTATTTCACCTATTCGAAAATATTTCGTTTTTTCTACGCAAAACCAGAGAAATTTCATTTGTACTGGACATTTCAGGACTTTGAATCCTCAAAGTTTGGACGCTTGAAAGGATATTGTAGGTTTATTTAATGGTAGTATAATGTAAAAAATGATTACTGGCCGAATATATAGCATTTACAAGGTGATTATTGAATTATAATAGTAGTCTTGTAGCAAACTTTGTAGACTCTGTTATTCACATGAACAAAGAGTATATGCTCGTCTGCGATTATATGCCACAAACATCTGAACGTACCAACAACAGATATAGTTGAGGGCACTGCCTGGATGTGGAAAGTAATAAAATACAAACCACTTTTTCACCTCTTTAAAAGACAAATTTGTCTTTAGCGAGACTACTGACTGAGGAAAAACCAATTATGACTCTACTGTCAAAAACTACAACAATCACACAATGTTTTCAAAATAATTAAATACATTGGGTGCGTTTGGCAGAAAAAAGCGCTAGCAAGCGCTTACAAGCGCTAAAATAGTTTTCGGCCAGGACACGATTGCTACTTCAGTAGCGCTGACACAATCCGCCATTTTGCTTATTTAATTTGTTTGTTTTGAAGTAGAGTTTATAAGTTGTTTTGTGCAATATTAGTTTTAAGTAATATAATGACATGAATAAACATATACATGTTATTAAAAATTCATGATTGGTAAGTTTTTAATATGAATACTTTACAAACATATATTTAAATTAGGTTAGGTTCCCCGGTTAAAACTAACATCGTGTCCTAGAGGAAAATAGCTACTTACGATTTGACAGCACTTACTGCTTACGATCGCCATTTTGTTTACAAGCGCTTGCTAGCGCTTTTTTCTGCCAAACGCACCCATTAATAATATAATATAAAAGGATCATCTGAAAGAAGAGAGCCAAAGATATCACTGTCTATAATACAACTTATTAAGTCCCTCCTCCTAAACTCCAGTTACTTAGTCAAAGCAACTATTGACGATTAATACTATCAATCAGAGAAAAAACCACATGAGTACAAGTTTAATTGTGAAATCTGCGTAATTAATTTTTAAACTTGCTTTTTATTTTAACTGATACCATACACGAAATTAAGTCCTGGAAAATCACACAATGATTGAACGAAGGTGTATTTGCCTAAACTGCACCGAAACAAGCACCTTGGGTATTACATGTACAAGGGCGGACATGGTGGTTTGGCAAGCGTCTTGGCTTTAAATATTTGTGGGGAGGTTATGGTTTGCCAACGCATCAATTTAAGGAACGGAGTGACTCACCGGAGCCGGTGGAGTTGGAGTTCTGCGGCATGTTCCAGGTGGTCCAGCTGCCGCCCGCCGACGCGCCCGCCGGCGCCGAGCTGTAGTTCGCTGCACAACAAAACATTACGTCAGCGAGCGGCAATCACTTATCATGCCCATGAATTGGAATTGGAATGACATTTGTATATGATTTGTATGATATTTGTATGATATTTTTTGAAGACAATGAAGATAACAGTTCACTGGATAGTAAGTGAATTACTGCAGACAATGGACAACCGCAAACAACTTCAAATAGAGAAGGTTTCAAACAACTCTTTACTGACAGAACTAAGATAAAAAATGCCTTACATCCTGTGATTATCCTCTCTTACCATTCAAACCCGAACACTGTACTGGGTGTACCGCTGCTTGGCGACAGAAATTGATAAGACGGCGGTGCCACCCAACTGGGCTTCTAGGCAGAAAAGTAGTCCTAACACCTTTTATAAAGATAATCCATGAGAACACATACAGGGGTGTTGGTGAAGATAGAATGTGTTCAACTTTCTCTCCAAATGTCATCGCCATTTACACGCGGTGAACCCTGCTGTTGGAAAGACACTGGTTATTTAGTATAGAGAAAGAGAGAGGGAGAGAGAGAAAGAGAGTATTTATTACCAACGCAACGATATCCGGCACTGCGCCTACCGACAGTAATGCCTGCAAAGAATATTGAGTATGGGCAAAACTTTCAAGAAATGTATCAGCTTTCTTGAAGAAGCGTATGTCTTTTAGTGGCCTCAATAGGCAAACAAATAAGATCAAGCATTTCAAAACATCACCCTTTCTTTGGCCATAGAGCCCTGTCATTTAACCTCTTAGCTACCAAGCGTCCAAATTTGACCGCGGCAATATTCTGTCAAAATTGTAGAGGTCAAATATGACCGCACCCACCCACAACACTTTAACCCATAAATACTTATGTTTAGAGACTACTTTTCCATGAAGAAGTTTGGCATTATAGAATCAATATAAAATTTTCTATCCTCTAGTGGAATAACAAGTCAGTTAGTCAGTGGATATTTATTTATAATCTACGTTCATTTCATACGCCATTTTCGTGTGAATGTAATTGTGTGATTTTTGGATTTTTCTAGTGTTTTTCTAGTGTTTTATTAGTGTTTTAGTATGGTGTAAATTGTAATGAAAGTTTTTGTGTGAACATAATTTATCTTTTTACGTAAATAATTTCGAGTAATATATAGAAATAATTGTGATTTTCACGTTGCCGACATCCGCTTGGTATGTTTTTTTCTTGTTATGAAAATACAATAACATCTTTTTGTAATGAAGTAAAACCTGACTTTAGACCACAGAATAGAAACAATTGTATAGATTTTATAATGCCAAACTTCTTCATAGAAAAGTAGTCTCTAAATATAAGTTTTAATGGTTAAAAAAAGCTGTGGGTGGGTGCGGTCGAATGCAATCGTTCGGGATTTGACGGACGCATGCGACTGCATGGGATTTCTATGAATTTCTAAGGGTTAACACTGAAATAGAGCGAGTCCTTCACACTTCACACTAGGCACACTTCATAATTTTCTTACTTGAGATCTAACCAGAACAAACTTGCTTTAGCAAGTTAAAACCGAATGAGTTAAGAAGGTAATTAACTAAATTTTTAACTAAAGCTAAGCAAAGCACACTGAAATATCTTTATTAATTCCATGTAAGTTTTCAATTTGTCACACATGATTTTTAGGTGTTGATTTTTAAACGTCAGATATAAGTTATTCACAGGATAACAAACATCATAAAAAAATTATTAAAAATGGCAGTTGCATGAATGAAATAGTTCAATCGTTTCACGTCTATATTTCTTCATCATCATTATCATTACACAGCCCTTCACAAGACACTGCTGAACATAGGTCTTTCCCTGGTCCTGAATCCTGTATCCTTCAACTCTCTGCCTCTCTTACCAGGTCGCCTCTCCACCTATTGGAAGGCTGCCCTACATTCAGCTTACTCTTATCGGATGCTTTAAAAAATCGACAAGTCTATTGTTTTCTCAATATGCTTAAAAAATATCTAATATTAAACAGTATTTATACGTGTAGTGTTCGCGTAAATATAAGAAATCATTATCCACATTTATCTTCTATTAAGAATCAAAATGAAGATGCGTTGTCACCTCTGAGGACTGCGAAGAAATGCCTCGTTTCCAGTGAATAAGGTTTCCGGTTTAGAGTTAAAAATAAATTATTTTACTATCATTATTTTCATGTTTTATTTCAATAAATGCATTAAACCTACTAGTTTCTATCATAGTATTTGTTGCAAACTTTGTAGACTCTTAAAGTTCACATGAACAAAGAGAATATGCTGGTCTGCATTGATATCCCACAAACATCTGAACGTACCTACAACAGATATAGTTGGGGGCACTGCCTGGATGTGGATACATGGATATTTGTATATATTGAGTTCATTGCTGTATTTTATTAATCAGATGCAACTGTATTTGACTGTATATTTATTACTTTTGTGTTTGCTTTGTTCATCAGATATGGCTCAAGTTTAAACAAATATCAAGTTTTAACTGATTAAACTTTGTATATTTTCCTATTAGAAATTTTGCATTTAAAAATACAGTTTTGTATTAAAAGCGCAGTAATAGAATAACTATGCATTTCATTTTGTATTTTTTTCTATGTAGTTTGTCACTATATTGTAATTTTAAGTAATAAAATGTCTGTAGATTTGCGTGGTGAAGGACAATGATACCCATATTCACAAACACTATTATGCATGGGATACAGAAAACTTAATAATATAATTGTTTTTTGAAATAAATAAAATATTATAATTAATGAACAATGCGGATTTCATAATGATTTATGTTCACGCGAAAACTACACATTTAAATAAAACTAAATAGGTTAAAAGTTAAAGAGCACATAGCTGATGCGAAGAATATATCTGGTATGTCTACAGTCTATAAACACGTACGGGATCGCCCCCAACAACACTTGATGAACAAACGACACTATGGATTCATTATACTAAAAATATTGTAAAAGCTTTACGTAAGTATGGTAAAAACACAAATATCAAAATAGTATTGGATATATAATTTATTTTGTTTGAAGAATTGGGACGGATTACAGTAGCTAACAATTATATAATAATAAAGAGAAGGAACATACAAAGAACAATCACCAAGAAAAGTTATGTGACTTTCAAATTCTGATTTATTTGAAATAAACATGGGCAAGGAGTAACTTTTCAAACACTATGTTTAACATGTGGTTGTGAAGAGAGAATTTTCTTGATTTTGAACCATTTGACATTTGTTGACAGATAAACAGTCTACTCAAGTTAATTTGCATCAGAAAATTAACCTATCACAACACCACATTTAATGCTATGCGTACGCTCGGCTTGTTATACCGAACGCACAGATCTTACTTGTAAGCGCAGCTCCTATACTTATGGAAGTAGTGTTTGTGAATATGGGTATAAGTTAGTTTTGTGCCATAATATCTTAAGTGGATGTTATCCATTCAAACATCAACTTATAAACTAATATTTTGATTGGAAATTAAGACTGCTTGCGGGTAGTATTTCGCATCAAACTGTATATTATATCCAGTTTTGTAGCACACCCTAAATATAGATTGTAAGTAATTTTTTGATTACTTGAGTCCTGCGTAAATACAGTGTTGCAGTTTTGAGTGCACATTCCATAATTTAGTTTTTGTGATAAGACTAGTTTTTAGATTTATAGAATGGGAGTAAAAACAAGTAAACAGACCAAGATAAGTGGATACTGTGACGAGCTAGGAACATCGATCTTCGAATAATAATCTTCTTATGGCACACCTAAGGACAAAGAAGGAATACGCATCTCAGAATACGCTAGTATCTGTGTCTGTAGTCCTGCGCGAACATATATCAGCCGTGCGCAATAAGTAGTGCACGTACCGTAGCGGCCATAGCTAGGCATTGCGCGGGCTGCTATACGTTATATAACAATCATGTTACTTGTAGCGTTGTGCAATGAGCACATAGCTCACGTACCGTGGCTGTCGGAGCCTTACTATAACAATCATAGAAAACTTGTAGCCATTTTCAATTAACATGTATCGTAGCAGCCGTAACCCTGCGCGGATAGCTGTGTATGTATAATTAGCAGCCATGTACAATGCACACGTAGCACACGTATCCTAGCTACTGCAGCCTTGCGTGTATATAATGTTGCGTGCCATAATTAATGCCCGGTATATGGCGGGTAATTATTAGCGCCATCTAGTATCAAGTAGCAGAAAGAGGAGCGTCAAGATCTTTTTAGAACTTTCCCACTAGCGCCATCTAATGTCCAGTGACGAGGGCTTTCTGGAGGATTCTTCGCTAGAACTTTCGACATTCTTACTCGAACATTCTAGATGTTTTCGGTGGAAAAGGTCCTATATAAAGTTGGTGCGCGACCGGAGCAGTATTGAATTAGCGATAAAGAAGTGTTAAATGTAATTAATTATTAGTGTGTTTTAAGTTTAAATTGCTGTCTATAATTAGTGTCTATTTTGGTAATTCAATCGGCAGTTTTTACTGTCACGAACCCTATGCTCGTAACAATAACAATCACAGACAACACGTAGCCGTGTGCATTTAACACGTAGTGCATGTATCGTAACTGACGTAGCAGTGCGCGGGCGGCTGCACGTGTACAACAAATAGTGCAAAAGAGACAGCAGGCGCACGTACCGTAGCTGCCGTAGCCCTGGGCGGGCGGCTGCGCGTGCTGCGTGTAGTTGTTGGTGGCGGGCCAGGCGGGCGCGTGCGGCGGCGCCTGCGGAGCCGGCGGCGCGCCCCAGCCCTGGTAGTTACCCGGGCCCGCGCCGCCACCCGCCGCACCGTAGCCAGCGTACGACGTCTGCCCCGGCGACGTGCCCCACCCTTGGTACCTGCGCATGTACGCCCCATACTCACTTAGCCACATATATCATAAACATACACATACACGTAACTATTTATTTCAATTTGTGTCTTTCTTATAACAACTAAAAATAAAAACCTGCTGTTACTAACCCGCTTGCCAAGTGTAGCAACTATGGTAAATATCCTCCATGCAAGGCCTATCTATCTATTGTGGAGGCCTATGTTCAGCAGTGGACTTTAATAGGCTGTAACAATAACAGCAACACACAAGAGCAAAAGGAAATAAAGTAAGAAAGATAGTCTATTAACCAAATACTACAATGTTTCTCCATTTTAAAATGCCCATTAAGTCTAGTGCTATCTCTATCACTTTAAGTAAAAGTGTGACACCACGAGACTCAACAACATCTTAAAATTGAGTATCAATTGAGTATTTGGCCATATGTAGTTCAATAGCATTAACAACGAGAAACCATTGTATCATCATTACGAGTCCAATGCTAAACATTGGCCACTCCCAAGGAATGCCTCAAAGAGTCCTAGGAGACCTACATTCATCAACTTCCTGCATCTATTACCAAGTTGTCACTCCATCTAGTGAGGGCCCATCCCACACTTCGCTTACCTGTACACAAGGCTGCCACTCTATAACCTTTCTTTACTTTTCTCTACTTTAGCAAAAAACTGAATTAGGTATATGCATATGGGCTGAAATTTATGCATTTCAGTATCATATAGTATATACAACATAACCAATAGTCTGCTTGTTGGTCACAAAAATATGTGTTTTCAATTATTTTTAATTTTTTTTGTAATGGACAAGTCCGGTTTTGATTAATAAAGGTGGACAACTCCGGTTATGATTGAAAGAGTTATGGACATGTCCGGTTATGATAAAAAACTAGATTCTATTATTGCATTTTTTTATTTAAAAATTATGGGAATTCTCCCACATCTGGTTCGCAACAGTCACAATCTTCACTGTGGTCATCGTCTTCGTCATTTATTTGATTTGTTTCAGCAATTGCCACTGGTGTGGTATGGAATATATTGTTTTTAAACCAATCAAGCTCTTGATTATCGTTCCAATTATCTCCAAATTGTTTCTTTAAAAGTGTTTCAACATTTTTTTTTCTTCTATGGTTTTGGTTCATTAACCATTGAAAGTCTTTGTAGTAAACTCGGATGTGTTTTTGTCATTTTTAACAATGATACAGCATTTTCTGATGATTCATCTCCATAGTAGGTGTTTAAGACTTTCACGCCAAAGTTTACGTGATTTAAAAGTGCGCTAGGATCTCTTCGTATATTTGCACTGCCTCAGCCACATGCTCTGCCCCTAATTTCTTCGTGTTGATTGTTGAGATTGACTAGGAGTTTCTGTTTGGATTATGATGACTTTCTTTCTATTATTATTCTTTTTTCATCTCGAATACTTTCTACTTTCTTGTAATAGTTTTCAAGTTTTTTGATGTTGTAAAGGTTCCAGTTTTCAGCTAAAATATGGACTTTGCCATGCTTTGCGTAAACTTCATGATATGTTTTTGGATCCAAAATGAAAGGCTTCTTCCGCAAATCCTTTTCGACCCTCCCGAACACTCGATCCGCCGGCAAGAAGCTGTGACCGCGCACAGGGAAGGTTTGTACGATTTTGGTGACATTTTGAGGGGCGTAGTTTTTCAACCAGAAAATCAAAGTGTGGACGACATGTGAATTTTTGTTTTGCCCTCCACACCCGTCCGAAAAAAGACATAAAACTTCCACTTCAAAAAAATCAGTAAATATCAGGTATGTTAAAAGAGCAGGCGCAATTTCGGTGGCGCCTTTTTTAGCTTGGTTTTCTGTCCATATGAAGAAATGTGTCTCTTTTGTAGGCATATCAGTGATGCAGAAAGAATAAAGTCTAACTTGTCGTAAATAGAAACACGTTTTAGGAAGGGATTGAATTTGTTGGAGATCAAAACATATTGTCATTGAATTTTCAGGTGTTTCTTTGGTAAGAGAAAAGAACGCTTTGGCCCTAGCTTTATGAACTCGGAGTTGAAGTTTCAATGATTGAAGTTCTTCAGGATTTTTTCAGTATTTTGCTTATTTTTCAGCAGTTCGCAGGTACTACATACGTCGGAAGATGGTGATGAAAACCCAATGTTAAAATCGTTCTCAAAAACATTTCGGAACATCGCAACTCCCACAACTTTTTTACGTTTAGCTCGTATGACAGATAAACCCTTTTCGATTTGTTTCGATTGTAATGTGATTCGTTTACGTGTGCCATCATTTATATTGGCCACTATTTCTTCGTTTTCGTCCATAATTTGGTCGGTTTTCTAGTAAAATGCTTCTCAAAATTACAAAAGCAGTGACCGTCACACAGCTGGTTTTTTTTTAATTTATCAGTGTTGCCACAATTGATTTAGGGATATCATAATAAAAAAGCATGTTTTTTTTAGACTTGTTTGGTTTTGTTTGGCATTTTTCGTACCAATGGCAATTCTCCTTACGTTTTTGTCCGGTTTTGATTGGAGAAAAAAATTCCTTAGAATTTTATTTAATTTCTAACAGGACAAGTCCGCTTTTGAAAGGAATCATTATATTTAACTATTTTTTTCTATTAGATCGGACCGCTTTTGATACAAAATACTCTGGGGATCTTTAGATATGAGCTTAGAGTGCAAAAAAACAAAAATCGAGTACAGTGGACAAGACCGCTTTTGTTCCCCAGCTCCTCATTTCTTATTTCTCTATCTATGAGGCCTGCCATGCCTGCCCTTACTGATCCATTTGGCTTTGTTGGCCTCTGATTCTTCTGCTACTTGGTATTTAAAATACAATTTTACCACAGCCCCGTCACAAGACCACTGCTAAACATAAACTTTTTCCAAGAAATGCCACAAAGAACAGTCCTAACCCACCTTCAGATCGCCACTCCATTTAGTGGGGCAGTCAACCAACATAGAGCTTGTCAGAGCGAAGCTGTGCAAAATGTTTCCACATCAAATTACAACATAGCCCTTAATGAACTAGTGCTTGTTGGCAGATAGATACTAACTTTATATAACAATGGAAACTTGATACATTCTTACAATTGATTTTGTAACTTATAAGGTTTTTCTGAAAAAATTCAAATGACATATAGGTATGGTAATGATAAATGTTACACTGACCCTTGCATGATGTTGGGGCCGGCCATAGGCATGTTGATGGGCGGGCCGCCCATCTGTCCGTTGTGGCCCTGTATCATGTTGATAGGTGCGGCTTGGGGCGGGCCCCACTGGCCGGCGGCGGGCGCGTCGCCTGGCGCACCGCCCATGGCGCCTCCACCCATGCCACCGGACCCTGACCCCAGCTTGCCGGACCCATCGCGAGGCTCCGCACGCTTTATCTCCACCTGGAAAATCCCCAAACGTAAATATCCTCCAAAGGTTTTCTTTCGAATATTTCAAACATATATACTTGGGCTATAATACTTAATGCTTACACATTTAGCATACAATTTATGATCTTTTTCAAATACTACACTTACCAATATGAATATGGTGAGTGTATAAACGCATTAGTAAGCTGAAGTGGCAATGGGCCGGCCATATAGCTCGAAGAACCAACAACCATTGGGGAAAAAAGGTTCTAGAGTGGCAGCCTAGTACCGGTAGACGAAGTGTAGGGCGACCCCCCACTAGATGGAGTGACGACCTGGTAAGACATGCAGGAAGTCGATGGATGTAAGTGGCTCAGGACCGTGCTTTGTGGCATACCTTGGGGGAGGCCTATGTTCAGCAGTGGAATTGTGAAGGGCTGTAATGATGATGATGATGATGAGTGTATAAAAGAATACACAAGTGAAGGAAAGATATCAACTCAGAAAAATAACCAATGAATTTTTGAGACACTTTAAATCATGGTAAAATAAACAGTTCTGGAAATGCAATGTCTAAGACTGAAGTTGAGTCTGGTAATGTGATACAATACCAAATGGCATTTATCACGTGTCATTTGTTTAGAACAAATCTTCTCAACGTAACCATGTATAAGATCAATTGTACCTTACATAATGCAATCATGTAATATGTATTTATAATGCATATATTATGATGTTACTATTGAGAAAATTAATGTCTTAAAATATATATTTTAAATAGCCTATAAGCATTCAAGTAACATATTATTATGTAGATTTCTATGAAATAGAAAGCAATACAGGTAAAAAAAAAAAGAATTTTAAAGTAACAATTATACATTACACATATCTCAAAATGTATCAGATAAAAATTAAACTGTTATAAAACCATGTAGCAAACTTTGTAGACTCTTATAATCCACATGAACAAAGAGTATATGCTGATCTGCACTAATATCCCACAAACATCTGAACGTACCCAAAACAGATATAGTTGAGGGCACTGCCTGGATGTGGAGTTTTCAGTCATTTTCACGTTTAATAGTCATATATTACAATAAAGTATGTTACATTATTCAGATCCAGTGTGAAATAATGATGTGTTTAATTACCTGTTTCCCATTGAGATTGATGAAATGCTCCTGGGTTACTCTCTCGACGGACACCTCATCCTCAAATGACAAGAAACCGAAGCCTATAAAAAAATAAGTTATGTCAGAACAGCATATCAGATGTATTGATTATTTAATTAAATTAAATATTGGTTCACAATTGTTTTAAAAAATGACAAAAAATTGAGCATCGCAAATTATTTTAGTTGGAGCAAGGGAGTGAGTATAGCCCTTTTATATATGATTTCAGTTTTAACCATGGTGTTGTCATCAACATTAAGTGTATCGAATGAATCTAATTAAATACTATGAAATTTCATTTATAATATAAAAATCAAATTTAAACAACATGTAAAAATACTTTAAAGTCTTGTATCTGTCACAAAAACATGTTATACAATAACCTCTCACAACAATGTTGCTAGAATATTTAATGACATTATGACATATACCATCATTTATGTTTAAAAAAATAATAATTATGCACATACATTGAGCACATACAGACATGATGCATTTTCACTCACAAACAATTATTTTGTAAGATTAGATACATGCTACAAGTTAGAAATAGTATTTCTTATTTAACAAAGAAGGAAGAACACTCTGAATATTCGGGTAATTATTCTAAGGAGGAATGGTTTTCCTATAAACAATTTAAGTCTAAATAGACGAAAACGCAACAAAACGACAGTCTGACGTAGCTCTTTCATTATTGTGTTAGTTGTTTATATATAAAATAAAAATATCAATTGTATTAAATATACATAATAAAGCTTTGTCATTAATACCATTACAACTCAAATATTTCTTGATATAACATTTTTTAAACATATATTTAATATTATATGTGCTTGCAGTTACACATGAAATAACAAACAAGCAAAAATTTTACATATAATATTACAACATTTCTGTTTATATATTTATAATAGAAGATAATGCAATTCTACTACAATTATTATTCAGGCTTCATTCACTTTACAAGATATGTGAATCTATTATTACATACCTAGACTTCGTTCAACTAGGTGACAAAAGAAAGTTTATTAAGAAAATTGTGAATTACCAATAGAATAATAAGTATGGAATGGCCATGATATTATTAAATACAAAACTAATCTAGAACCCAGTGAAAAACTGCATAACAGAGCGTAATAAAAATATAAGGTGTTAAATAAAGTCACTACTACAAAATTTTCAATAAATATTGGCTGCTACATACACAGGCTGCACTAAAAGGATCGGGAATGGAGTATTTCCACTGTTCCTGTCATATTAAAATCTTTTTAATTGAAAACTCCTTGGTTTTAAAAATCGAATACCCATTTATTTATTTAAAAAAAGATTCTCGGTCTTGTCACAAGGTTTTGTCAAACTTGTTTAGTCATTGAGAAAATGGAATTGACTTGAGAAAATTCAAGAGCGATGATTTATTATGACTTTCGCAGTGGTTTAACACAAAAACAGTGTGTTGACCGGATGATTTCTGCATTTGGTGATGAAGCCCCATCCGAAACCACAATTTATCGCTGCTTTGCTGAATTTTAACGTGGACGTGTCAAGCTCAGTGATGATCCCCGCCAAGGTCGTCCAAAAACTGCAGTCACCCAAGAAAACGTTGATGCTGTGCGTAAGCTGATTGAGGAAGATCGACATGTGACATACCTCGAAATTCAGGCAACTTTAGACATTGGCATGAGTCAAATACAAATAATCGTGCATGAACAATTAGGTGTAAAAATGTTGTTTTCCCGATGGATACCGCATTCGCTCTGTGAAGAGCAAAAAGCGGTTCGCGTTATTTGGTGCGTCAGAACTCTCGAAAGATTCCACGCAGGATCCTCAAATGCTGTATACAACATCGTATCATGTGACGAATCCTGGATATACGCGGACGAACCCGAAACAAAAAACCAGTTATGAGTTTGGGTGATCGAAAATGAGTTAAAGCCAACAATAATTGTTCGTTCACGGAGTGTTGTAAAAAAAAAAGATGGCCACGTTTGTTTCCAAAACCGGCCATGTTACGACTATTCCTCTTGAGGGACAAAGAACGGTTAATGCAGAATGGTATGCTAGCATTTGTTTGCCACAGGTCGTTTCTGAACTCCGTAAAGAGCTCTGAACTGCAACCGCCGCATCATCCTCCATCACGACAATGCGAGTTCTCGAGAGTTATTAGAGCAAGAAAACATAGAATTATTATTAGACCATCCGCCGTACAGCCCCGATCTAAGCCCTAATGATTTCTATACTTTCCCTAAAATAAAGGATAAATTGCATGGACAGAGATTTTCATCACCTGAAGAAGCTGTGAACGCCTACAAATAGGCCATTTTGGAGAGCCCAACTTCCGAATGGAATGGTTGCTTCAATGATTGGTTCCATCGTATGGGAAAATGTGTCAAATTTCGCGGAGAATACTTCGAAAAGCAATAAATACATTTTTAAATAGTAATGTTGTGTCACTTCCTTGATTCCCGAAATTTTCAGTGCCGCCCTCGTATTTGTCATAGAACAAAGGGTGCCATCGTAAATATTTCATTAAGTCCGGCCAAAGACCAAGCATGAAGGAGCTTCTCTAATTATAACGTTATTGTACATTCGACGCAATATATTTTTTATTAAAATTAAAAAAAGCACTTGATTTTAGAACGTTTAAGAAGGATGTAATGATTATTTTCATGCCATGAACTAAGTGCCTGTATTGTTGAAGAAGGAATCTACCAAAAGAGTTGCATAAAGTTGATTATTTTTTTAATCCCAAGTTAACATTGGTACACTAATACCAACTTTTAAGGACATGCAATAACATTTTTGTAAATTGGACTACATAGTCAATGCATTAATTTTAAACTGCAAGATAAAGTAGTATATTTAATTTTGGGATGTCTTAAGCTAAAAAGACTTGGATACTTACCTCTCGACTTCTTTTTCTCCTGGTCGTACATGATAACGACCTCCATGACCTTTCCATAACGACCAAAGAACATTCTCAAGTCGGTCTCGGTGATGTTGGACGGGAGACCTCCAAGGAACACCTTGGGGTAGCCGCCGCCGCGTTTCGGCTTCTGCAGCGTGCGAGGATTGCACGGTTTTGGGTCGATAGTTCTGTAGACAAAAAATAATGTAATTCCTTAGCAAAACAACTTCTACCGTGGAAAAAAATATACTGATGCTTAATTTCCAGTATTTCATTATTATTAATATTTGAAATCTATTTCATCAGTTAAAACTAATTTTTGTATGTTTATTTTAACATAGGGACCAACTGCTTAAGTCTTTTTCTTTATCATACACACTATAAGATGTTAACATTTTTAAACATTAAATAAGATATACAAATTCAAGCTTAATCTTAAAAAGTTACATCTCTTTCAAGCAAGTCCATGTTCAGAGGACTGACTGTCTATAGACTGATTAAGATAAAGAACACACATTTTATATTCAGTTGGTATTATAAACAAAACTTTTTTTTAGGAGTTTTTTTAAAATATTTTTTTTATATATTTTTACATTTAGTAAAAAGAAACGTAAGTCACGTGAACCCTCTGTATACAAATCAAGTCGCGGCAGGTGGATAGAGGATCAGTTAATGTAGATGTAAAGGTAATACTTTTTATTTGTTGATCTGTTTATACAAATAGACTTTTTATAGTTTTAAAAGTTTTTTTGTAAATATTGGGCCTACAATTTGTTCGTCAATTTAAAGAATTATGCCCACTTTCCATACATATAAAAACCTGATAATGAAAGTTTATGTATAGTTGTAAGGTATAGTAGAAAAACTACATGTAAGTTTAGAAGATAATGTCATATAGTCATTTTTACGATTTAAACGCTACGAAGCCCAAAAAATATTAAAGTCACTTTTTAGTTTAGGTATGGCGTTACCAAATAGGTACTCAAGAAATTATTTTATTATTTTTAAATAATCTGTACTATACAAAAACTAATAAAAAATGCTTACTAATTAAATGAAAACTAAAATAATGTATAAAACGGAACGTCCTAAAAAATGGTAGTTGAGATGCGTTAAAAATAAGCTAATTAATACGTTTACGCTTGACGTAGAATAAGCTTAAAGAAATATTAAAAAATATTTTTTCCTGCGTTTCTTTTAAAATTTTGATAAGCGTAATTAATTTACAATCCAATTAGCTGAATTTTAAGATTTATTTCATTTATATACATCGTCAGGTGAAAAATGGGCATCTTTCTTTCATCATTTATGTAAATTTTGTAATGTACAACAGGGATGAACATATATATAAATAAAATAAAATATATGTACCTCTGCTTGTAATATAAACTTTATGTCATTACATTATGTTGAAACATTATTTATGAACATAACTTAAAGTAAAGTTGAGCGGTCAATAGGGAACTGAAAGTTTTTCGATATTGAATATGACGTAAATGTGATATTTGGTAAGTAAATTTTAAGTAAATTTATTGCAAAAAGTTTTTATATTTTATTGCAGGTGCCTCAGGACCTTGATTCATGGCTTTTCTTTGAGATGCTTATGTTGAAAAGTGGACTTGTGACGGGATGTAATAAATAAAATATAAAATAAAAAAGTTTATTTGATTTTATATTTTAGTTTATTATTACTAATAATGATGATGATGACGATGATCATGATGGTGATGATTTAAATTTAAATGACAGGTCTAAATAAACGTGGCGATGGAAAGACAACAAAATGTAGTGCAACTAATTAAAAAGTGTTGCAAAATTTTGTGAAAGTGACAGCATCAGTAAAATTTTATGGATCCGAAAACTTAATTTAAAACATTGTGAAACGCAGGCGCGGATCAAGTGTGGGGACTTATTTTGTTCACTTATATTGATTCATGATTGCTGTTTTTCGATGAATTATGGCGGAATAAATTTTTCATTATTTCTAGGGTGTTTTTGGGATAGCTGTGGTGTAAAAAAACTAAATTTGAATCAATCATCAAACAATTTGAATTGGTGTCCCACCAATGAGTTAAATAGGTAACTCTGAGTAAAAACAGATTATTTAATAGGGTTATCAATAGATGTGAAGCTACTTACCATCAGCTCACTTGACACCCAAATATCAAAGGAATAAATTTCTATTCTTTAGGGAACACATAATAAATTTTTGGAGTTTAAATATTGTATCGTTATTTTTCAACGATTTTTTTTAAATTTATTTGTCAAGTATGGGCTATTTTTATTCCTACGCTAACACTACACCGCGATAAGATTGTGTGTATTTAACAAGGAACTGCTTATAAACAGAAATAAGGCGTCGTAACAGCTCAGATCAGAAATTGTTACGAATCTAGCACGAATCAATATTTGAATGGCTTACTAGTAGGTATTCCAAACATTAATTAATTATTTAATATTAGCATTTCTTATATTAGTATTTTAGTATTAATAGAACAAACGTCTATGTGCTATTTATGATTTCCAAGTAGTAGTCAATTTTTAACAGCTTTTCAAACCACTACAAATGATGACGTCATAGAGTGGGCTGAAGTGTTCAATGCTTTGGTCAAGCATAAAAAAGTAATTAATTGAACCTTTTTTTTTTTGTTGTTTCAATTGAAAATTGAAAAACTCATTAATTGATCTTTGACATTTTACAAACATGACATATTTATTGATAAAGATTACATTAATCAAATACAAATATTGTTTTTCACGTATTTTGTTATGATTTGGTGATGAATGCGATTTATAGCCTATGAGTAAGAGAAAAAATAGTTGATTTTAAGTAATTGTAAAAAAAACCTTTATACCGTAGTGTGCGTGCTAGCGACAAATCGACAAAGTAACCTCGCACAAACTTTTTGATAATTTAAATAATTAATAATCCAAATTTTAGGAACAGTTCCTCGTAACATAGCAATAGTCAATGCAAGGGTTATTGTGAATCAAATAAATTAGAAATCGAGAATGAAACCAAAAAATATACTTAATCGGATTTTTTTAACTAAACTGAAACACAGACTTTTGACAACTTGGCAAGAGCCAAGTCAATATATTTCTTTCTACACACTTTTATAACATCATTTGGAGGTGTAATAGAAGAGCAATTAATTTCATGCATTGTTGATATCCCGGAAGTCAGTCTGAGCGAGAAAAAATGGTACTTAAGTCCTTCCGAAGCTCTTTAATTCCGTCCTCTATGGTGGGACTACTTCGGAGGCGTGGAGCAGAAGTGCTCTACTCTTGTTCTTCAAGAAAGGCGACAAAGCTCTCTTGAAGAACTAAAGACCGATTTCCCTTCTGAGCCGCGTCTGCTTGCTGTTTTAGAGTCATTACGAATCATCTTGCTCGCAGACTCGACGATTTCCAGCCTCGCGAACAATCCAATTTCCGAAAAGGTTTTAGTACCATAGACCTTATACATACCCTTCGGCAAATTGTACAAAAGACCGAAGAGTACAATCTGCCACCTTGCCTTGGGTATGTGGAATATATGAAAGCCTTTGATTCTGTCGAAATTTGGGCGGAGATTGAAATGAGGATATCCGCAGTAGAAGCTGAGTGTCGGTTAAAAAAGGATTAGTAAGCTGACGTGGCAATGGGCCGGCCATATAGCTGATTGGGAAAAAAGGTTCTCGAGTTAGAACTAGGTCAACCCCCCACTAGATGGAGTGACTACCTGGTAAGACATGCAGGAAGTCGATGGATGCAGATGGCTCAGGACCGTGCTATGTGGTATTCCTTGTGAAAGGCCTATGTTCAACAGTGGACTTGTGAAGGGCTGTAATGGATGATATAATTGTTGATAAAATAAATGCCATCATTTATTTTTAATACCTATAAGTATAATTGCCGCCACGAGTCGTGAGCACACTTTTTATTGGTCGATATGACGGTGACCACGATGACGCTCAACGTGATTGGTTCGTCAGCCGATTCTTGTCGTCTATTAAGTTCGCACGTATCATTCGACTACCGTACACTTGAGAACAATTTTAGTGACAACTTTTTGATTAGTTTATTTTTGTTAATTGTAGTGTTACCTCGTTGTTAATTGTTGTTTGTGTATTTCTTGTTCTTAACTGTTTTTGATATTTCTTGTTGTTAATTTTTTTTTTTGTTATAATTTGAGCATTCGGATTTTGGGCTAAATATACAGAGAAGAAAGAATTCGGTGTTAAATAGACAATCCAGACAAATGTTCTATTCAGTGTTTTGGTACATGAAATAATTGCGAAAAACATGATAGACGTTTATAATCCGACTGCTATGACAACTAATGTCTACGTAGCTACTTTACGTCGTATAGTTAAAGGAGTTAACGACTCAGAATTTTGAAAAAACGTCGGCGAAAATAATTATAATAATTTTGGCCAATAGTGTACCTACGCTGGCTCAACCCCCACCACAGTTCATCTGTTTATATAAATGAATTTATATAAATCTTTATAATTTCTTTTCTTCTTTTCTTTCTATAATTTTTTCTATATAAATGAATTTATATAAATCTGTTTATATAGGGTTTATATAAATGAACAATCTTGCAACGGTTTCAAAATCATGACGACTTAACAATTTTCTTTACATACCGAATTGATTAAGTATACTGCTTCTCTCGAAGAAAAAAAAAACATTCATTTCCTTCGAGTTATTTTAATATTTGGCATGATGCAATAATATGTGGTGAAGCGTGATTATGCGAGTTTTTACTCATTTTTATACATTACCATTTTGTTTTACTAATTGGGGCGCAATTCAACGAAGGCGAAAGAGAGAGACTTTTTTTATGCATAACAAAAGACACGGGAAGCAAATTCCACTAATATTGTAATTTTGTTTAAATAAGAATAGTTGTAGCGACGATTTTAACTTTATTATTTGATAGGATAACGAATATGGAATGCCTCGTTTTCAGTAAAAATGGTCTCAGGTTCTCTACACTCACTATACGAAACCTAGAAGCGTTAAACTGCTATTTCACACTGGTATTCTGTGAATACGTGGTCCTTTCCCGGTCGAGAAGACCCATTCGTGCTACAACTATACTATTAATACGGCTGCAGCATGGCTCTACCACGTAAAAGACGTATACGTATAGAACTTTAATAGTATTCCAGTTAAAACACTAATAATATTAAGCCAG